GTTTTGTTTGTTTTTAGGTTTTTGTTTTGTTTTATCATTTGTTGCGTTTTGTTTTGTTAATTGTTGTTTGGATTTATTTATTGATAATTTTTTGTCTTGTTTGTTGTGTTGCTTTATGTTGTTAATTTTAGTCTGTTTTTATTTAGTGTTTTGTTTTGTCATTTGTTTTGTTTAATAAATTTTTGCCGTTTTATTTCGATTTTTTTGTTTTGTTAATTTTATTTTTTCGGTTTCTCTTCTGTCTTTTTTGTTTTATTTTATTTAGTGTTTTGTTTCGTTTTTAGGTTTTTGTTTTGTTTTGTCATTTGTTGCATTTTGTTTTGTTAATTTTTGTTTGGTTTTATTTAGTTTATTTGTTTTGCTTGTCTGTTGTGTTTTGTTTTGTGTTGTTAATATTTGTTTTGTTTTATTTTGTTTTTTGTTTGTTGTTTGTTTTTATTTCGTGTTTTATTTTGTGTTTTGTTCTTTTTTATTAGTTTTTTTGTTTTGTTTTGTTCATTTTTTTGTTTTGTTCATTTTTGTTGTGTTGTTTCTTGTTGCATTTCGCTTTGTTATTTTTTGCTTTGTTTCATTGTTTTGTTTTGTCTTTTGTTGTGTTTTGTTCATTTTTGTTTGCTTTTATTTAGTGTTTTGTTTTATTTCATTTTTGTTTAGTTTTGTCTTTTGTTGTGTTTTGTTTTGTTCATTTTTGATTTATTTCATTGCTTTGTTTTGTCTCTTGATGTGTGTTGTTCATTTATGTTTGGGTTTATTTAGTGTTTTGTTTTGTCTCTTGTTGTGTTTTCCTTTGTTAATTTTTGTTTTGTTTTTTTCCTTTGTTGTGTTTTGCTTTGTTCATTTTTGTTTAGTTTTTTCTTTTATTTAGTGTTTTGTTTTATTTAGATTTTTGTTTTGTTGTGCTTTGTTCATTTTTGTTGTTTGGTTTTTTGTTTTGTCTCTTGTTGTGTTTTTTATTTTTGTTTGTTTTTATTTGGGGTTTTGTTTTGTTTGTTTTTTGTTGTGTTTTGTTTTGTTTGTCTTTTGTTGTGTTTTGTTTGTTTTGTCTTTAGTTGTGTTTTGTTAATTGCTCTAAGAGGATTAGTCTTCTTTTACGCGTGATTATGCTAAATGTATGTGTTTTGGTGTGTTTTCAGGAATGACGGGTATCCTGCTGTGCGCCGCCGGTCTGCCCGTGTGTTTGACTCGAGCTCCGAAACCCATCCTTCATCCTCCGCCGGTCAACAAGAGCGACCTGAAGCCGGTGCCAGGAATCAACAGCATCCGACGCAAAACCAAGAAAAAACACCTGCGCAAAGGTGAGGACACACTCTAACACTCTCTCTAGCCACATTACATTTTATATTACAGTTTGCATGTTCTCCCCGTGTTGGTGTGGGTTCCCTCCGGGTGCTCCGGTTTCCCCTACAGTCCAAACACATGCACTATAGGGGAACTGATGAACTAAATTGTCTATAGTGTATGAGTGTGTGTGTGAATGAGCGTGTATGGATGTTTCCCAGTACTGGATTGTGGCTGGAAGGGCATGTAAAACATGTGCTGAAATAGTTGGCGGTTCATTCCACTGTGGTGACCTCTGAAATAGAAACTAAGCCAAAGGAAAATGAATGAGGTATATCATCAGGAAGTGATTATTTTGTTCTCTTTGGTTCATTGGATGGAAACAGCACAAATCCAAACGTCTAATTCACATCGTTGGATGAACACACAGCTTCTATCTGTCATTGATTTTTGTGTCTCTTTTCTGCTGACCTGAGCAGAGCAGAGTTTGTGAAAGGAGCATCTGAAGCTTCCTCTTACACAAACACATTACGACAACAGTAGATCTGTTTACAGAGACGCTTTAATGCTAAAACCAAGAGTCGATGGTGTACTGAAGGCATCAGATGGTAAAGGTCAAAGAGCTGTTTGTTATTTTGAAGACTATATTTGACACTGCAGTGTTTCCTCTGGGATTTTTTTTCCAGCTGTGGCGGCCAGGCAGGCCTTTTTTTTTTTTACACAGATCTACCAACTACCTGTGGCTTTAGTATTTCAATGACAAATGTCGTGAGTGCAGTATTAGAAGGTCGAGATTGCATTTATGTAATAGATTTCCTCTGCTCGTGCACAAAACTTCTTGCACGCCCCCTCAAATATATGCCGCTTCAAGAGCGCGCAGATCTTCATGTGCGCTCTCAAACAAAGGCTTCTGGATGTGATTTAGTGCGTTTATGTAACGAGTATGTCTCCAGCATTTATTAGTTTTGCTAGGAATGTTTATAAATGTCTCTAATAGACCTACAGAGCAGTATTAATGCATCCTGAAGTAAAGTGAAACGGCTATACGTCGTGTTTGCTGGCCTCACCCATCACGCACCTGTCAGTCAGTCAGTCAGCACGTCACCTTAAAGGGTTAAACAAATGACGCACAGCACTACTACGGTTACAGAAAAGTTTGCGCTATTATAATTAACTTACACTGTAATACATTTTGGTGCGATTATTATTACCCGCTATTAAAAAATAAATGTTTTGAATGAGAAGCTGTATTGTAGCCATGGCGGGATGAATTTTGGCGTGAAAGAATGAATGTAGTGGAAACCATGCACTGAGATCTTCTCCTTTGTGTACTTTATAGGGTGACAGGATTTATGACTATAGCTGTAAAAGTAGCTATGCAACAGATATAAGAACTCTGGATTTGTCCTTTATGGTTTTCCGGAGTCATGTGAGGACTGATGAACGTCTGCTTCTGTCTGTTTTTTTTTATTGTGTTTTTGACAAAAGGTACAGTACATTAAAGGTATTCAACGACAAAGGTATTTCCGTTTTTTTTTTTTTTTTTTAACCGTACATGAATTTTAAACAGAGACAAGTGAACCTAATAAACATTATTATGAAAAGGAAATGCATTAAATAAAAATATATATTAATAATAATAAGAAATAATAATAATAAAAATGAGAATAAAATAAAAATAAATTTACAAAATAAATAAATAAATAAAATAAATAAAAAAAGGGGTGTGGGGGTGGGGGTGGGGTTAGGAATTTATGTTTGGAGGAGTACATTAGTCTCAATATGAATTATTAGAGGGTCCTATGTTTTGAAAAATGTTTTGTTTGATCCTCTGAGAAAAGATTTAATTTTTTCTGTTTTCAAAAATAGCATTACATCACTAAGCCAAAGTGACAGTTTAGGTGGCATTGGCGGTTTCCACTCCATAAGAATTCTTCTTCTAGCTATTAATGTTACAAAGGCAAAGGCGTTTTCTATTTCTTTGGCTACATGGATGTCCTCATTTGCTACTCCAAAAATAGCCATTTCCGGATTTGGTTGAATTCTTAAATTGAAGGCTGAGTTTAAAATTTCAAATATTGAAGACCAAAATTATCTCAGTTTGTCACATGACCAGAACATATGGGTTAGGTCTGCCTTGTATGAGTTGCAACGATCGCATGTTTCATCTATACTGGGGTAGATTTTAGCCAGTTTAGTTTTGCTGTAGTGAATATGGTAAAGAATTTTCATCGTGAATCAGATTAAGACGCGCACATGATGAAGTCTTGTATATATATATATATATATATATATATATATATATATATATATATATATATATATATATATATATATATATATATATCAACATTCAATTAAATACAATGCTCTATTTTAATGATCAAGATACAAGTCTAAACCGTATGACACGAAAGCATTACGGCCGTGTCTAAGTCCACTTAGATACAAGTCTAAACCGTATGACACGAAAGCATTACGGCCGTGTCTAAGTCCACTTTAGCTTCACTCAAAAAGATTTTTTTTTTTTTGCTTGTTCACGCCACTTATTTAAAATGAGTTGAAACAACGTATATCTTGAGATTTTATTAGGAAAGCTTAATTTTTTTTTATGTTCAATCCACTTAAATTTGTTAACAGTCTTAAGTTAACTTTATCGATTTGTGTTGGGACATCATGAATAAATTGTGTGGAACCCTGCTTTTTTTACAGTGTATTTTAAGGATAGATAAATACGCTCTGCACCCCGGCGCATGGTCTAACAGGGTTGTGCTTATTCTCTTAATGAGTTCTGGGTGTGTTTTGGGCATAACGTGCATTAAACCAATCAGAGTCTCATCTCACATTCCCTTTAAGAGTCAGTTGCGTCGCTCCATGGTGCATTTGCTATTTACATGGCGGACTTTGTAAGTGTAAAAACTGAAATCTTCACTAGCGAGAAAACAGTTAAACAGAGCATCTGCAGCGCGAGTATAAAGAATGAGCCTCCTCCATTCAGCCTCTTTACTTTCTCTTTACTTTTTCTCTTTACTCCTTTACTTTGACGGAGTGAGGAAACGGTGGAAACTCACTCCACTGAACACATCAATTAGCCCACATATTAATTTCCTTTGTTAAGTGCAAGGATTTGTTTCAAAACTATTTCTAAATTCAGTTCTAATCTCCAGCAAAGAAATAAATGAGCAATAATAATGAAGTGTGGTCAGGAAACTGAGCTATATCCAAACACACGCCCTGTTCTTATGCCCCATATGGTGATGCAGACGTCTCCAAAACCCCACAGAAGGACAAATCTAAACTTGTTTTTAATAAAACTAATATCTGCAGATAATCAATAATACTGTAAATGATAATAACATTATACAGATGCAGATTATTATGAATAAACTGAAAAAGCCACCCGAGATGAGGCATCAAGGCAGTGGTGTTTATATTTATATAGAAAATAATCATTTTTGTAACGTTTTAATTGTTTTCATCTGTAAAGATATTTGTGTACTGCTGTACATCCTGTGTGTATTCAGCAATGTGTAAGTGTTTGGAGCTGCATAGGTGCATAACTAACGTGCTCTGCGATGGACTAGTTTCAATATCTGTCAACTTCAGTTCCTCAAAATTGCAGCAATGCACATTAACACACCTCCTTTATAGACCAGCACACCCACGAGTCCACAGAGTGGTGCAAATGAGTTTGCTATTTAAACAATGTGGCGCAAAACATGAAAATGACTGTTGTGCTGGTCTGAAAATAGCAACAAATCACACAAAACACATCCTGCGCCTTATTGCGCCAGAGTATGATAGGGCCTATTGACTGTAAATATATGTCCACGTATGTGTACTGCATTAACAGTCAAGTACAGTTGATGTCAGAATTATAAGCCCGTCTGTATATAATTTCTGTTTAACAGAAAGATTTCTTCAACACATTTCTAAGCATAATAGTTTTACTAACTCATCTCTAATAACTGATTTATTTTAATATAATACATAATATTTGACTAGATCTTCTTCAGGATACTAGTATTCAGCTTAAATTAATTTTAAACATTTAAAGGCTTCACTAGGTTAATTAGGGTAAAGTTAGGGTAATTAGGCAAGTCATTGTATAACAGTGTTCTGGAGACAATCCAAAGCAAATATTGCTAAAGGTGGCGAATAATATTAACCTTAAAATAGGTTAAAACAAATCAAAAACTGCTTTTATTCTAGCTGAAATAAAACAAATAAGACTTTCTCCAGATGGAAGAATATGATAGGAAATACTGTGAAAATTTCCTGAATCTGTTCAACATCATTTGGGAAATATTTGAAGAAGAAAACACTCACAGAAGGGTGAATAATTCTGACTGTATATAGTTTAATTGATTACAAACGTGTATAGAATATTTTATTTTGATTTCAATATGCAATTACTTAGCTTAACTCTAAAAAGAAGTATAAATTATTAAAAAATAAAAAAAATATATTTCATTTAAATACCTTTACATTGTACAATGGTGTACATTTTAATTAAATTAAATTTAATTTAATTTAATTTAATTTAATTTCATTTCATTTTATTTCATTTCATTTCATTTTAGAACATGATGTTCAATGGCTCATTAAGCTGTCTTCAGCATTTTGAACTGTTATAGAAAGTGTTAAAGAACAAATATGTACATGTAAGTCAGCTAAGTATGAATGCTAAAAATATGCAACTCATTCATTAATTCGACTAGATATCCTGGTTTCCTTCGGCTTGGTCCCGTATTTATCAGGGGTCAACACAGCGGAATGAACCGGCAACTATTCTAGCATATGTTTTACCCTTTCAGCCACAACCCAGTATCAGGAAACATCCATACACACTCATTCAATCACACACACACACACACACACACACACACACACACACTCATGCACTGCGGCCCAGTTATTTCATCAATTCCCCTGTAAGCGCATGTGTTTGGACCGTGGGGGGAAATTGTAGCACCCAGAGGAATCCCGCGCTAACATGGAGAGTACATAAAAAAATATGCAACTAAGAATGCATAAATATCAAGTTTAAACACTACAGCTGTAAGTTTTGTGTGTATTTCCAGGTAAAAGCCCGGAGGATGTGGTCCGCCGCTACACAGAGAAGATCAAGTGTGCTCCAGAAGAGGTGATTATTGCACAGATGAGGCTGATGTGTGTTTTCTGTCGTCCGCTGATGGACTTAATGAACGTGTGTGTGTGTGTGTGTGTTTCTCCGTCAGGACTGCACCATCTGCATGGAGAGACTGAGCTCTGCGTCTGGATATGAGGGAGTTCTGAGCTGCAAGAGCATCAAGCCTGAGCTGGTGGGCAAACTGGGCAAATGCGGACACTTGTACCACCTTCTGTGCCTCGTGGCCATGTATAACAACGGCAACAAGGTCAGAATACCATCAGGACAGCTTTAATGTGTTTTGTGTGTGTAGTAACCAGAGCTGGATAGATTACAAGTTACTGATTGCAAATTACATGACAAAACTTGTTGTCTGTAGTATAATATGTTATGCTTTTATTGTAGTGTAACCTGACTACTTTTAGATTACATTTGGATTACTTTTTTATTAATGATTACAAATTACGTGACATTTGTGAGTCACTTGTAGTCAGTACTATAATCTCTTAGATTACACTTGTATGGTAGCGCAATTGGCTTCTTTTGGATTACATTTGGATTACTTTGGCAAATTTTGTAGTCAGTAGTATAATCTCATAGATTACACTTGTATGGTAGCACAATTGGCTGATTTTGGATTACATTTGGATTACTTCGGCAAATTTTGTAGTCAGTAAAATAATCTCTTAGATTACGGTTTTATGGTAGTATAATCTGACTACTTTTGGGTTACATTTGGATTACTTTATTACTGATTACAATTTACATGACAACATTTCTAGTCAGTAGTATAATCTCTTAGATTATGCTTTTATCGTAGTGTAATCTGGCTACTTTTGGCTTACTCTGTGACAAACTTTATAGTCAGTAGTATAATCTCTTATGATTTTATGGTAGTACTTTTGTATGGTTGTACTTTTGTACTTTTGTATGGTTGTACTTTTAGTATGGGACTACTTTTGGTTTACATTTGGGTTACTTTATCAACAGTTACAAATTACGTGACAAATTTTGTAGTCAGTATTATAATCTCTTAGATTATGCTTTCATGGTAGTTTAATCTGACTACTTTTGGATTACATTTGGATTACTTTGACAAACTTTATAGTCAGTAGTATAATCTGTTATGCTTTTATGGTAGAGTATTCTGACTACTTTTGGATTACATTTGGATTACTTTATTAATAGTTACAAATTACGTGAAAAGTTTTGTAGTCAGTAAAATAATCTCTTAGATTCCGCTTTTATGGTAGCGTAATCTGACTACTTTTGGATTACATTTGGATTACTTTGACAAACTTTACAGACAGTAGTATAATCTCTTATAGAATGATTTTATGGTAGCGTATTCTGACTATGTTTGGATTACATTTGAATTATATTTGGATTACTTTATTAATAGTTACAAATTACATGACAGATTTTGTAGTCAGTAATATAATCTCCTGGATTACGCTTTTATGGTAGTGTAATCTGGCTACTTTTGGTTTGCATTTGGATTTCTTTATTGCTGGTTACAATTTACATGACAAAATTTCTATTCAGTAGTATAATCTCTTAGAATAGGCTTTTATGGTAGCATAATCTGACTACTTTTGGATTACATTTGGATTACTTTAACAAATTTTATATTCAGTAGTATAATCTCCTAGAATATGCTTTTATGATAGTGTAATCTGGCTACTTTTGGCTTACACTTTGACAAACTTTATAGTCAGTAGTATAATCTGTTATGCTTTTATGGTAGCGTATTCTGACTACTTTTGGTTTACATTTGGGTTACTTTATTAATGGTTACAAATTACATCACAAATTTTGTAGTCAGTAATATAATCTCTTAGATTACGATTTTATGGTAGCGTAATCAGACTACTTTTGAATTACAATTGGATTACTTTGACAAACCTTATTGTCAGTAGAATAATCTCTTAAATTATGCTTTTAGGGTAGCTTTATCTGACTACTTTTGGATTACATTTGGATTACTTTGACAAACTTTACAGTCAGAAGTGTAATCTCTTATGATTTTATGGTAGCGTATTCTGACTACTTTTGGTTTACATTTGGATTACTTTATTAATAGTTACAAATTACAAGATAAGTTTTGTAGTCAATAATATAATCTCTTAGATTATGCTTTTAATGGTAGCATAATCAGACTACTTTTGAATTACAATTGGATTACTTTGACAAACTTTATTGTCAGTAGTATAATCTCTTAATTTACTCTTTTAGGGTAGCGTAATCTGACTACTTTTGGATTACATTTGTATTTGACAAACTTTACAGTCAGTAGTATAACCTCTTATAGTATGATTTTATGGTAGCGTAATCTGACTACGTTTGGATTACATTTGAAATATATTTGCATTACTTTATTAATAGTTAAAAATTACATGACAGATTTTGTAGTCAGTAATATAATCTCTTAGATTATGCTTTTATGATAGTGTAATCTGGCTACTTTTGGTTTACATTTGGATTACTTTATTGCTGATTATAATTTACATGACAAAATTTGGATTCAAGAGTATAATCTCTTAGATTAGGCTTTTATGGCAGCATAATCTGACTACTTTTGGATTACATTTCGATTAATTTAACAAATTTTATAGTCAGTTGTATAATCTCTTATGATTTTATGGTAGCGTATTCTGACTACTTTTGATTTACATTTGGATTACTTTAGCAAATGTTATAGTCAGTAGTAGAATCTCTTACATTACGCTTTTATGGTAGCATAATCTGACTACTTTTGGATTACATTTGGATTACTTTAACACATTTTATTGTCAGTAGTATAATTTCTTAGAATATGCTTTTATGGTAGAGTAATCTGACTACTTTTGGATTACATTTGCATTACTTTGACAAACTTTACAGTCAGAAGTATAATCTCTTATAGTATGCTTTTATGGTAGAGTAATCTGACTATTGGATTACATTTGAATTACATTTGGATTACTTTATTAATAGTTACAAATTACGTGACAAATTTTGTAGTCCGTTTAGATTACTTTACTGATTACAAATTACATTATAAAATGTGTAGTCAGTACTATAATCTCCTAGATTACAGATCTCCTAGACACTTTTATGGCAGCATAATCTACATCTAAAAATCACTGTTCATGCTGTTTAAAATGTGTGTCACATTAATATAAATTAATGATGGGTAAAAAAAATGCAACTATGAGGATATAAAAAAATTGCAACATAATTTTGCTCATCAATCTTGCATCTCAGCACATAAAGTGTGTGTTTGTGTGTTTTAGGATGGCAGTCTGCAGTGTCCCACCTGTAAGGCAATCTATGGGGAGAAAACGGGCACGCAGCCGCCGGGGAAAATGGAGTACCACATTATCCCTCATTCCCTCCCGGGACACTCCGATATCAAAACCATCCGCATCGTCTACGACATTCCTGCTGGAGTCCAGGTACACACACACACACACACACACACACCTGACTCGAATCACGGAAACACCACTTTTTACACAAATTAGCTGTGATCAGTCTCCTTGAGCAACATTTGTTTTGGATTGTTTATAGAACAAACCACTGTTATACAATGACTTGCCTAATTACCCTAACTTTACCTTAATTAATCTAATGAAGCCTTTAAATGTCACTTTAAGCAGAATACTAGTGTCTTGAAGAATATCTAGTCAACTATTATGTGCTGTCATCATGGCAAAGATAAAAGAAATTAATTATTAGAGGTAAGTTATTAAACTAGTATATACATATAAACTTGACCTATGCATATGCACCTATAGATATATATGCATTGATCAAGCTTATATGTATATGCGAGTGTGTACAGGTGTGTTTGCATGCACCAAGTTTATATGTATGCATGTTATGGGTATATATGCAAGAATCGAGTTTAATTATATAAGCAAGGATATGTGGGTGTATGCATGCAGCAAGTTTATTTGTATATACGCAAGTTTCATTTAGAGTATGTTGTAGTGAACATCCAATAGTATAGGTGTATACACCAGTAATCTATAGGTGTATATGCACGTTTTATGCTATTAAAGTATTGATAGCCCTTCATTTTTTTTCACATTTGTTTATTTTACAGCTTTATTCCAAAATGGATTAAATTGATTGATTTCCTCAACATTCTACACACAATCCTCCATAGTGACGATGTGAAAAAAAGAGTTTTTGAAATTGTTGCAAATTCATTACAAATAAAACAGCTGTAAAATCAGATGTGCATCAGTATTCACAACCTTTGCTCAATAGTTTGTTGATGCACCTTTGGCAGTGATTACAGCCTCAAGTCTTTCTGAATATGATGCCACAAGCTCGGCACACCTGTCTTTAGGAATTGTTGCCCATTCCTCTCTGCAGTACCTCTCAAGCTCTATCAGGTTGGATGGGAAGCGACAGTGTACAGCCCTTTTCAGATCTCTCCAGAGATGTTCAATAGGATTTAGGTCTGGGCTCTGGCTGGGCCACTCAAAGACATTCACTGAGTTGTTGTTGTGCCACTCCATTGATATTTTGGCGGTGTGCTTTGGGTCATTGTCCTGCTGGAAGATGAACCGTCGCCCCAGTCTGAGGTGAAGAGCACTCTGAAGCAGGTCTTCATTCAGGATGTCTCTGTACATTGCTGCATTCATCTTTCCCTCTATCCTGACTAGTCTTCCAGTTCCTGCTGCTGAAACACATTCCCAAAGCATGATGCCAACACCACCATGCTTCACTGTATGGATGCTATTAGCCTGCTGATGATTGCTGCCTGCTTTTCTCAAAACAAAACCCCTGACATTCACTCCAAAGAGTTCAATTTAAGTCTCATCAGACCAGAGAATTTAGTTTCTGATGCTCTGAGAGTCCTTCAGATGCCTTTTGGCAAATTCCAGGCGGGAAGTGTCTTCCGTCTGGCCACTCTACCATACAGGCCTGATTGGTGGATTACTGCAAAGATGGATGTCCTTATGTAAGATTCTCCTCTATCCACAGAAGAACACTGGAGCTCAGACAGAGTGATCATCAGGTTATTGATCACCTCCCTAACTAAGGCCCTTCTCCCCCGATCACTCAGCTTAGATGGTCGGCCAGCTCTAGGAAGAGTCCTTGTCATCTTCCACTTATGGATGATGGAGCAGCAGAAAAGTTTCTGTAACCTTCCCCAGAGTTGTGCCTCGACACAATCCTGTCTCAGAGGTCTACAGACAATTCCTTTGTCTTCATGCTTGGTTTGTGCTTTGACATGCACTGTCAACCCTGGGCCCTTATATAGACAGCTGTAGCCTTTTCAGATCATGTCCAATCAGCTGAATTGACCACAAGTGAACTCCAAAGAAGCTGCTGAAACATCTCAAGAATGATCAGTGGAAACAGAATGTACCTGAGCTCAATTTAGAGCTTCAAAAAAGGTTGTGAATACTGATGTGTATCTGATTTTACAGCTTTTTTTATTTTAAATGAATTTTCAACAATTTCAAAAACTCTTTTTCCACATCGTCATTATGTGTAGAATGTTGAGGAAATCAATTAATTTAATCTATTTTGGAATAAGCCTGTAACATAAACAAATGTGGAAAAAGTGAAGCGCTATCAATACTTTCCGGATGCACTGTATGTGTTGATGAGCAAAGTGTGCTTTAAATCCTACACTGTGCCTGATTGTTTACTGCTAAATGTTGCTGTTGAATCGCCCAGTGCTGATTCTCCTGCAGATCAGCGTTTAATGCTGTACGTCACTGGCGGTTTGCTCAGAATGACCTGTGGGCGTTCGGCTTCTGGTCAGTGTGTGTTTACGGTATATTTTAGCATCTGTTAGGCAGGAAGTGGCTGAGTGGGGTTTCCTGTTCATCGAGGACTGCTAAGTGTCTCTTATTCTGCATGATTGTCCTCCTACTCACTTTCTCAACTCTTGTGTCAACTGATTGTAATGTAAAACAGATCTGTAGCCAGGGTGGGGTTTGGGTAGTTCGTCCCCTTACTGTCAAATGCACAGAATTTGTCTCATACATGAGCTTATTTGTCCTATTTTACTGCAATGCGATCATAAATATTGAAAATAACTCATCACAAAAGGCTTTACGCGGAATCTGATGTACAGTGCTCAACATAAATGAGAACAACTCACTATAAAATTAATATTTCTATTAATATCTCAGTGAATATAGCTAATTTATATTGGTGCATTTGAATAAAACACATTTATTAAATGGATATATTTATTAAAATAATATTTTATTAACCAAAAATACTTAGAAATAGAAAGATAATCCATTTAAATTCATGAAAATTGTAAAAAGAATTACAAACTACAAAACTTAAATAAAAAAATTGTTTCTCTTGAATTTTCCTCTTTTTAATTTTTAATTTAATATTTTCCCTAACATATAAATTTGGGTGTGGTAACTTTGGAGCGTTATCAAGTTATTTTGTTAGATAAGCTTAAGATTTAACTTCAGTACTGACTAATCTAATGTATATGCACAAATACAATATTGTAAAGCTTCTTACATCCAGTATTAATTTAAATGAGTGATTTTTTTAATATTTTCTGTGATCTGAGGTTTTATTTTAATGTATTTGTCAAGAAACATCAGATAGTTATTGTATTTAACTACCACCAAATAAATAACTGACAAATCCTGCTGACCATCTGCCTCTCAGCCAATCACATTTCACATAACCTAATTGATATTCGTGAAGCATGCACAGCTGGCCAATCAGGGAGGCCTTGGTTTGTTCTGTTTATACTGAAATCACAAAAGTTTTAGACACTATTTACAGTGCTCAACATAAACGAGCACACCCCAGTTTAAAAATGAACATTTTTATTAATTTCTCAGTGAATATTAATAATATATTTTGCTGCATTTAAACGAAACAGATTTATTAAACGGATATATTTATTAAAATAACATTTTGGTCACCAAACATCTTTAGAAAAAGAGAGATAATACAATTAAATTCAAACAAAATATTGGGGAAAAACTGACAAATTATAAAATTTCACCAAATTTATATATATATATATATATATATATATATATATATATATATATATATATATATATATATATATATATATATATATATATATATATATATATATATATATATATATATATATATATATATATATATATATATATATATATATATATATATATATATATATAAT